CAGGGGGCACCAGCACCCCCCGACCTTCCTGCCGACCAGACACCAGGGTGATGGGCACCACTGGGAGAGGTCTGCTCGGCTGCTTTCCCCCCCTGGCTTGGGGGGATCCTTTGGCTGAAGGGTCTTTTGCAGGACGGCTCTAGGGGGGAAGGGAAGGATAATGCAATCGGTCTGAGCTCAGTTCTGTGTTCCCTGAGCATAAGGGCTTCACCAGCACCTCGTTGCTCCCCCAATGCAATCTGTTCTTCTCCCAAATTACTGATGGTAGGATAAGGGGAAATGGGCTCAAGTTGTCCCAGGGAAGATTTAGATTGGATGCTAGGAAAAATTTCTCTCCTGACAGAGTGGTGAAGCTTTGGACCCGGCTGCCCAGGGAGGTGGTGGGGTCACCATCGCTAGAGGGGATCAAAAAACGTGTAATCATGGCACCTGGGGACATGGTTTAGTGGTCATGGGAGTGCTGGGTGATGGTTGGACTTCATCTGAGAGGTCTTTTCCAACCTTAATGACTCAGTGACCCTGCCAGACCCAAGCGCCCAGGCGCTGCAGACTCAGGGCAGCCTTGACCTGAGTTTCCCTCTCCCGGCCGCGGTCGCCGGGTCCCTCCTCCCCCCGGCAGCCGGGAGCAGATGAGGCCAAAGTCCTGGCAAGCTCCGTTTTCCACCGGGGGCTGACAAACAGCACGGGCACACACCGGCAGCAATCTCCACCCAGCCCAGGCTTGTGCAGGAGAAAGTCAATATTTAACCCAGGTTTGTTTCCTGGGCTGATAGGAGAGCCCTGGGGCTGTGTGTGGGAGAAATCCCTGGTTCCACCTTGGCTGCCAGACCCAAACCTCCTCCTACAGCCCTTCATTTGTTCTCCTGAGCACAGGTTCCACCCCAGGCCCTCTCCTGCAGGGCCCATCAGCTGTGCTGCATCAGCACCCACTAATGGGGCAGCAATTTAAGGGAGGGGGTGGCCAGGCAGGGTTTGGGTTGTCTCCTTCTCATGCAGGCAGCCCCCACAGTCAAGCAGACATGGGGGCAAGAAGATCCAGAGTTAGAAATAGGAGAGGAAGAGGAAATATTTAATCATTCTATGACTGGTAGCCCCTGCTTCAAGGTAAGGCAGCATGCTAAGAGCCTGGCAAGGTGGTTTTCATTTAAATTGACCAAAAGCTGTATTTGAGTGTTGCATTACAAGCAAAGTTTGTGGGTCCTGGTGAACTGGGAAGAAAATTGCTGGCAGGATGCTTGCCCCGGTGCAGATTTAGGTAAATTCCTTTGGCCAGTTCTCAAAGGGAAGGAAACAGTGCTTCTCACTGCAGTGGCTGCAGCCAGGCTGTGCACAGGGGTAGGGGGGTTTCACAGGCATGTGACCAGCAGAAAATGACCTTAATTTTGAGGGTAAAGGCATGTTCCTGAGCAGGCGCTGGGAGATGCAATGCCCAGTGGTGGGGAGGTGAGAAACCAGCTAACAATAAAAAGCTGATGGGTAAGGATCCTGCATGGAAGCAGCTGAGCCCACCTGGTGGGTCTGACAGCAGCAAAGGGTCTCCACCATCCCTTCCAGAAGAGCTGGGGGTAATTTTAAAATCAAAAAATCTGTTTTCATGTATATTGTTTCAAGCAGCCAAGGCTGCTGCTGCTGCCTCCCCCTTCACCCCAGGTGCACCCAAGGCAGTTTGCTCAGCCTGAACCTGCCGACCTTCCACAGGGCTCAGGGAGATCAGAGGGAATCTGAGTCTGCAGCAGCTGTTTTGGCCCTTCTTCTGGAGAAGAAACCAAAGGAAGTGTGCGTCTAAAACTGAAACCTCCCCTGGGTGAGGGAGCTCGTTATGCAGGGAAAAAAAAAAATCACACTTTTCAAAAAAGAAACACCCAAGAGTCATTGTTTTATAGCTGTATTTTGGAGCATAGTTAAATCTTCTTTGAAATAATCTCTGGTGTTAGGAACAGGATCATGCATTATTGAATTTTGTTACTGTAACTTAAACTGGAGGGGAGGATGGGCAGGACCAACTTCACGATACCAAAGGGAGCTGGGTGGGGAGTGCTGGTCCCAGCATGTACCAGTGCTGTCCTGCAAGCCCCCCCCAAGGCTGGGAGGTGTGGACCCAACCCCTCTGATGGAGGAAAACCCCTGTGCAATGGCAGGTTGGGGTCCCCATAGGACCAGGATGAGAGATGGTCCCAGCTGCTGCTCTAGCAGCACATAGGAACCTGCTCAAGGACCCTCAAAAATCCTCTTCCTAGGGAGTACAACACCACCTCTGTGCAAAAGACTGCCTCGTGGGGGAACCAAAATGGGGGAAATCTGCCTGGCTGCCGAGACAGCACAGACTGGTGCAAAAAGAACCTCATCTGGGGAGCTGAGGATCAATCCTGTCCTGCTAGGCAAGAGCTGGCCGTGCTCCTGCGTGCGTGAGGAGCCCTCGACCCCAACACCTCACAAGCCAGCTTGAGGCTGTTCCCTTTATCCCAGCAGACTGAGTGAGCCCTTTGGTGTGCAGCTGTTGGCAGCAAAGGGTGATGCTGGGGCTGGGCTCCTCCTGAGCATCTCCAGTCCAACCCAGGACTCAGCTCCCCTGAGGAGCACGCCCAGGCTCCCTGCCCAAGTGACACCCAGCAGCTCTGTTGGGTGTGACCTACACACAGCCCATCCTGCTGCACAAAGCCCTCCCAGAGCCCTCACAACCTGCAGCCCACAGCCCTCCCCAGGCTGCTCTCCACGTCCAGGTCCCAGTGCTGCCCCAGAGCCCTCCCTGTCTTTGGGCCTGTGCTGCTCTTTGCAGTGGGACTCGTTTCCCTTTTCTGTTTGGAGGCTGTGATTTCCCTTTCACACCCATGGGAGGTGATTTCCTCCCTAGTGTTCAGGTACCCTCAAAACCTTAAATATGGGTCGCAGGGCTGAGCTCACCCAGGATGAGCCACCTGCCACACAAACGTTTGCCCCTTGCAGGAGGCAAGTCAGGCTGTGGCCTTCCCAGCACAGTGACCTCAGATCTCCTGCTGCCTCCCAGCTCGGGCAGAACGAAGCAGTCCTTTGTCCCTGCATCCTGGGCCTGGCTCCTTTAGTACCTGGGCATTTTCCACTTTCCTGAACTTCCCCACTGACTCCAGAGCTACAGCCTGGACCAAAGAGCCAAGACAACATCCTTCTGCTCCCTCTGCTACACGTGCTGGTTGAGACAGCCATGAGGATGGAGCTTTGGTCCAGCTGGAGCCTGAAGCCAGATCACCAGAAGCCAACTTGTTGATGGCCTTGCTGGAGAGGAGGTGTCTTGTTCTGGCACCGTGGACTTTGGATCAAAAGGAAAAATTAGACGTACATCAAAACAAGCTCAGGGTTTCTTGAGGAGCCCAAGCTGGAGAGCTCTCCCTGCCAGGGAGTCAGTCGAGGGGGAGGCAGGCAGCTGGCATGGGTGCCCGGCGGAAGAGCAGGCTGGAGCCACGGAAGAGCTGCCCCTGAGGAGGAGAGAGGGCAGAGGGTGAGGGCAGCCGTGCTGAGACCAGCCCCGGGGGGATTCAGCTGCCTTAGCAGGGACTGACTGGTGCCTGATGCGAGGCTTGAGCACCCTGGCTTGCTATGGAGGGAAAGGTGGAGTTTGAGCCCTGTGGGCACTGGGGTCGGGCACCTATCCCCAACAGGGATGATGTGATTGAGAACGGCCTGGGGGTGAGGAGCTGGCCAGAAGCCCCTGGCAGCCTGGGCTGCACCCCCAGCAGCGTGGGCAGCAGGGCAGGGAGGGGATCCTGCCCCTCTGGAGAGACCCCCCTGCAGTGCTGGGGCAGCTCTGGAGTCCTCAGCACAGCAGAGCCAGGGAGCTGCTGGAGCGGGGCCAGAGGAGCCCCAGCAATGCCCCGAGGGGGGAACCCCTCTGCTGGGAGCCCAGCAGGAGAGAGTTGGGCTGGGGCAGCTGAGAGGAGAAGGCTCCAGCTGGGGAGACCTGCTGGGGGCTGCCAGGACTGCCAGGGGCCTGTCAGCAAGCTGGGGGGGGATGTTTGAGCAGGGACTGTTGCAACAGGAAAAGGCGAGTCAGTTTGAAACTCAAAGAGGGAGATCTGGACTTGAGAGAAGGAAGAAATTGTTGCTGCTGAGGGTGGTGAGCCCCTGGCCCAGGCTGCCCAGAGAGGTGGTCGCTGCCCCATCCCTGGAACCATCCCAGGGGAGGTTGGCCGGGGCTCTGAGCACCCTGCTCTAGCTGGGGATGTCCCTGCTCAGTGCTTCAAAAGTCCCTTTTCAACCCAAACTACTCCATGACTGGTGGAGAGGGGCAGAGCCTTGGCAGAAGGCTGCAAGCTCTGGGCACATAACAGGCAGAGCAGCAGCACCACGCCTGGTGCCAGTGCCAGAACCAGAAGGACAGACACAGGTTACAGAGCACATCAAGGATGCAGCACAGGCACTTTTTGGGCAACGCTGGAGACCTCAAGAAGGAGCAGAGGGAGCCCAAAGCCCCAGGTGTGCCCCAGTCCCTCACCTGAGCACTGAGGTACCTCCAGCAGTGGATCCAGGAGGTGAAGGCCGGGGCGTAGGGGGGGAGCCCAGCACGCAACCTGCACGGCGACAAGAGGAGGCTGAGAGGCTCTGTGCAGATGTCACATTAGCCAGCAGGTAACACAAGAGCAGCAGCAAGTTTAAGTGAGGACACAGAACTGGTGTCTGTGCCAGGCTGGAGGCCAAATGACCAGCTCGTTATTTACAGTGCAACAGCTCATGTAATTTAATTACCCCTGGAGTGCAGGGACGAGGAGCGTTACCTGGATACGCTGAGTCCAGGGCTGCAGGCTGGACCTGCACCTTCAAGAGCCAGCAGATATTGAGCTACTCCAGCAGCTTGGATCCAGACCCCCTCCCCTCAGCAAGACCCTTCTTGCAGCAGTGGGATGGGGAAGGCAAGCCTGGTTCTGCTCCTGCTCTGCCTGCACCACGCTGCATGAAGAGCTTTGCTTCCCCTCGTGCTGCTCCCTGGAGCCAGCATGGTCCCTTTGATCCCTTCTGCCACCAGTCTAGTTCAGCTCAGACCACACCATCGTGACTCTCCCTGTTTCCCCCCCCCTTGAGTTTTTCTGCTGCTTTGGTCTGTGCCCTCTGATCTAAAATTATAAGCACCCTGGGACAGGAAACGAGCCAACCCTGTGAGGTGCTGTATAGTTTATGGTTCTGTATGAAAGCTTTACGATCGTTAGCAGAGGGCTCAGACAACAAGGGGCTGGAAGAAAGGATGGGGAAAGCCTTAGATCTCAGTGTGACTGACATACCCACAGTTGTTCACTGCCATGAGATCCCCCACGAGAAGGAAGGGGTACGTCAGCATGCTCACAGCGATCTGAAAGCACAGAAAACCAGGAACCTCTCTGATGCCTGTCCTGCCAAAAAAAGCTATTTCCAGCTTTTGCACGTTAGTGAAGTCATCTTCATTTGGATGTAAGGTACAGACCAGCCTTTTGCCTGCAGACCACGAGCTCTCACCCCAGAGACAGCAGGAAGAGAAGAAATGATGTGGCAGACACCTACGTACCCCCATCACGAACTTTGTGTAGCTCCGGATCACCGACGCCTGGCTGAACTGCAAAGAGAAACCAAAGGGCTTGTGGAGGTGGCATAAAGCACTGGGCTGTCCCTGTCACCGTGTGACATCCCTCAGAGCCTGCCACGAAGGGCATGGGGCAGGGGGAGAAGGCAGAAAGCCACAGTAACCCTGCTTCAGCCCTGCTCAGAAGCAGGGAAGGTATTTGCCATCAAACCCGATCCCCTCAAACTGCAACTGAAACATGGCCCTGAGCAGACACAGCATCTTTAGCACTTTCACAGGGCTTTCTCCAAAGCCTGGTGTATTGAATTAGCCATTAACCTCCTCCTTGCAACTGCAGGTGCTTGGTATAGGGCCCCCAAACCCTCTGCTGGGCACTTCCACTCACGTTATCGTCCACTGCGTAGGTGTTGATGAAGTGAGCCAAGAGGTTGCAGCACCAGAGGAAGATGACATCCCCCAGGATGTGAGGGACTAAACCACTGCAATGGCAAAAAGAAGAGGGTGAGGTGCAGAAAGGTCCCAGGGCCACCTCCTGAGGTGCTCAGCTCTCCCTCCCCCAGCACAGAGGAGCTCTGCTCCCCCAGAATTCATCTTTACTTTGGGAGGAACTCAAGGGGAAAAGGGAGATTTCAGGGAAGAGCTCTCCCAGCCTTCAAACCCGGCCCTACATGTGCTGCCAGCTGCTCCAGGCAGGGGATGCTCTGGAGTAGGAAGTCTGGGGTCTGTCATTTGGGCATGACTCAGCCAAATCCCCTTGTTCTACCCCAAATCCCTTCCTGGCCCAGCTCCTGCTCTGAAACCCAGGCCAGACACGGATGAAGTGGCTCTTCTGTTAAGCTCATTCTGCAGATGCCTTTCAGGATGCAGAACCATAGGTTCATCTCTTTGCAGAGTCTCTTTCCTTTAAGAAATTAAAATGAGGGGGTTTGTTCCTGCAAAAGCTGCTCTGCTGCCAAGTGGGATTAACTGAGGGCAGCACTCCATGCCATCTGACTTTCCCAGTCCCTGCTGCCACCTGAGAGCACAGGGACGTGGGGTGATGTGCTGCTTTGGCTCACAGCTCTCCTCAAGATGTGGGCAGGAGCTTCAACATTCACCCCCAGCTTCTAATGGCACAGTTTGAAACTTCAGCAAAGCATTTCTGAGGGGTTTCCACTTCATCACCACTCCAGCAGCATGGACCTCTCTGAGATGGGGCAGCAACCACCTCTCTGGGCAGCCTGGGCCAGGGGCTCACCACCCTCAGCATCAAATATTTCTTCCTTCTTCATGCTACTGAGTCTAAATCTCTCTTCTTTTAGTTTCAAACCATCATAACTGGGACATCTTCAAGCTGACCAGGCAAAGCAGTTTTGGAGCCTGGGGAACATCTTTGTGGCCTGCAAGGAGACTGCTGCAGACATGAGGGGAAGTGAGGTAAGTTCACCCCCTGAAAAGCCTTCTTCTCTAGCCAGGCACACATCCAGAGCAAGCTGTGCTGCTGTTACTGCTCTGCAGAGGTCCTAAGGCCATGAGAAACAAACACACAGCAAGGATTTTAAGGGAGTGGGTGTGTTGGGGTTGTGTGAGGAGAGCTGGGAGCAGAGCAGCAGCACTCTGGTCCTGCAGATGCAGTTTGTGTTCCCCTCAGAGCAGAGCAATATAGGGCACGTCTCACTTCAGAGCCCTCCTGAGACATTTTGGGTTGTGTTAAAGCCTTTCCTGTGAACTATTAAGTTTAATTAGGCTGCCAACAGTGTTTATTTTACGTGGAGGAAGGGAGCACAGCAGCTCCTTTCACAGAACCTCCTCGGGAGGTGGAGGGCAGGGAGGGCTGCTGGGCAGCCCTGCCCCATGCACAGGGGACATCCCAGAGGAACCTGAACATAATGGAGGAGATTTGGGGCTGCACAGCTCAGCAGCAGAGCTGTGAGCTGCCAAAGAAAGATGCAGTGACACTTGATTGATGGGGTCTCCACAGACCCCTGTCCCTGTCCCTTGGAGGGCAGGGTGAGAGCCCCTGGGATTGCATTCGTGGGCAAAATAAGGGACACAAAGCTGGGAAAGTGTCTGGAGCCCAAGTGTGGGGAGGAGCAGCTGAGGGAGCTGGGGGTGCTGAGCCTGGAGCAAAGGAGGCTCAGGGGAGACCTTCTGGCTCTGCACAGCTCCTGACAGGAGCCTGGAGCCAGGGGGGGGTCGGGCTCTGCTCCCAAGGGACAAGGGACAGGATAAGAGGAAACAGCCTCAGGCTGCCCCAGGGGAGGTTTCAGTTGTCCCTGAGGAACAATTTCTTGCCCTGGAGGGTTGCCCAGGGCGGGGCGCGGCTGCCCAGGGCAGTGGTGGAGTCCCCACCCCTGGAGGGGTTTCCAAGCCGTGGAGATGTGGGGTGAGGGACACGGGGCAGTGGGGACCTGGCAGGGCTGGGGGAGGGTTGGATTTGATGAGCTGAAAGGTCTCTCCCAACCCAAATGATTCTGCACGTCATCTGGAGGTCCAAATTTTGTGACTGCAGAACCAAAGGCATCAAGCCTGAAATCCCCTCCTGAAATTTCTGAGCTGCCTTTACTGTTACTGACACAGCCAAGTGAGTTATGTCCCTTCAGGGAGTGGAGGCAGCAGCTGCTTCTGCTTTAATATAGACATGGAAAAAAAGGCAAGAAACATTAATTCAGGGTTCAATCATAAAGGTGTGGGCTGGAATTGGACACCATCAAGGCACCACGTTTCCTAAGTGGCTGGAATCACCTTTCAGCTCCTTCTGGTCCAGGCAGTGATGCCACTGAGCTCAGCAGCACCCTAGCACCAGCAAACCCCCAGCCAGCACCACCTCCCTGCTCATTACAAGCACCCAGGGTGCTCTTCAGAGCAATGTGCTTCTTAACCAGGCCCTGGCTTTTATTTCAACAAGGGGGCTCATTGTTGCACTTGATCTTGGTGCCTGTTGCACAAACAAATGCTTTAAATGGCCCTTCACTGAAACACAAAGAAGTGTCAAGGGAACAAGAAAGGTAGGAGAAAATGCAGGGTTCTCTCTGGGCTCTGAAGGTTTGATTGAAGATAAGATCTGGGGTAAACTTAATGGTCCAACTGGAGCCTTGTCAAAGGCTCAGATTTAATCTGTGTTCCTGGGAGGGAGTCCCTGGGTCAGACAAGGCTTCAGAGCAGACAGCAGAGCCACTGGTGCCTTCAGAGCATGGGGGAAAGTCTTTAAACAACTCACTTACACAAAGAATCCCAGGATCCCTTCTTCCTTAAATATCCTGCCGATGGCACTGAACACACCACTGCCAAGAGAGGGAGAGAGCTATCACCAGAGGATCAGACTTTGGGTGGGAAGGGACCTTTAAAGGTCACCCAGTCCAACCCCCTGCCCTGAGCAGGGACATCCCCAGCTAGAGCAGGGTGCTCAGAGCCCCGGCCAACCTCCCCTGGGATGGTTCCAGGGATGGGGCAGCGACCACCTCTCTGGGCAGCCTGGGCCAGGGGCTCACCACCCTCAGCACCAACAATTTCTTCCTTCTCTCCAGTCTAAATCTCCCTCTTTTAGTTTCAAACCCTTCCCCCTTGTTGTGTTGCAACAGGCCCTGCTAATATAAGCTATAAAGGTGCAGGGGTTGCTGTCTCTGTCCCACACAGCTTCGTGTGCCCTCTGTGCCCACCAGCCACAGCAGTGTCCCTGTGGCCACCATGCCAGCAATGCAGCAGGCAGCTCTGCTCTGCTTCTCCTCAACCTTTCTGCTTCTCCTCCTCAACCCAGGATGGGGGCTCAGGTCTGCTCTCTGCCAGCCTGCAGGACCTCCTGGGACAGCACTTGCTGAGAACTGCTCAGGTGCTGGAGCCAGAAGAGCTCTGCCTGGCACAGAGAAGGCTCTGCCCAGGCTGATTCTCAGCCCCAGCACCCCAAGAGCCCCCACTGGCAGCCATGGGGCAGCTGCAGCCAGGCCAGGGCTGCTCTCCAGTGTAGTTTTGCCCTGCAGAGAGGGCAGGTCTACTGAAAATGCTCTGAAAAACCTTGCCAGCTAGCAGGGCTGCAGCAATGCCTCACATTCCTAACCCTGTTTCCCTGCTGACTTCCCTACCAGCACCAAAAGCAAAGAGGCAGCAGACCCACCAGGTGATCAGCAAGGTGTGGTCCAGGGTCAGAGCCCAGCCTGCTCATGTCTCTTCACCCCACTGTCACCCACCCTCTGACCACGACTCAAATCCACTTTTTGGACTCCTAAACCTCCCAGGTTGCCACGTTCCCCACTGCACGTGGGCCTGTGGCACCTCTGCCCCCTGGACTCACACTTCTGTGTGCCCAGACCCTCCAGAGCTGCAGCCACTCACCTGTACTTGACTTCCCTGCCCACAAACTGGACCATGCAGCGCATAGAGATGACTAGGAGGAAAGAAACACAGGGCTGACAAAGACACCAATCCAGCCTGGCCACAGTGGATGTGAAGGAGAACACAGCCTGACCCTTCTGCCCTCCCCTCCCTCCACACCGAGCTCCTCTTGGCAGGTCTCCTCATGGCAAGAGTCAGGAACTGGTGTCCCCTCCTAGTCTGGAAGTGGCAGGAAAGATTTCTGGCCTTAACCCCAACAGGATTTCTAGGAGGAGCTCCTGGCTGAATGGGAAGGGGGCAGCTCCTTGCTCAGCTGGGTTAGTCCCCAAAGGCCAACCCAAGTGTCAGGCTCCCTGAGCAACCCCTCAGAGCCACATCTCTTCTGCTGTTTCAGATGAAGCCAGCTCTGGGGGAAGCACCTCGAGGAAAGGGGGTTCTGGGGAGATGCAGAGGGGGCTCCAGGCAGGGGGCCAGGACTCACCGTGCAGGGGGTGGGACACGACCCGGGACACACACTGCATCATCATCTCGTGGGAGGTCTGGGCAGGGGAGAGAGAACACACACAGCTACCCCAAACTGCCCAGCCCCCCCTCAGCGTGGTGAGACCCCCTCCAGGCCCCTCTTCTGAGTTCTGTTGTCTGGGGTAAACCTCTGCACCTACAAAATGTTTGATAGCTGGAGATTTGCAGCTAGTAAACACCACAGTCTTTTCACCCAGAGTCTCTCTCCCCACATAATTTCATCCCCAACCCACAACTGAAGCTGCTTCTGCTCTCTAGGCACACAGAACCCCCATCATATCACAGAATCAAGACTGGTTTGGGTTGGAAGGGACATTAAAGCTCATCTAGTCCAACCCCCCTGCCACAGGAT